CTTCCCGGCGATGGAACTTCCGGTTCATGTTTCTTCTTTCCGAATATTTCTCGAGAGGAAACATTTCGGTACGCTCGTTATTTCAGAAAATTCTCATTCGCGTTTAAGGAACGCAACAGTTCGGATCGATTAACGTTTCGCGAGAGGCGAGGAACTTTGCCGCACAGGTGCTACCCTGTAAAAAGAGAGGCTCTCTTCGCTTTCCTGGCGATGGAACTTCCGGTTCATATTCTCCCGGTCTCAATATTCTTCGAGAGGAAACATTTCGGTACGCTCGTAATTTTAGAAAATTTTGTTTGCGACCGTAGCAGAAGTTTCTAACATTAATTTATAGCTTTTTAAAGCACATTTGATTAATAAGGTTAGCATTTCCGTGAGTGTATGAATCCGTGACGCTCATGTATGATTTTTAGGCCGATTGAATGCAATTTTGATGCATTTCCGCAAGATCCATTGGTGGACCGGCTCGAAATGCCGTCAAGTCGCGTCTCCGGCTGAAAAGGTCCTGCTCGACCTGGCGGGTCTCGGAGTTACCTTTGACCGGGGGAACATTTAATTTGTCGGAGTTTCCTTTGTGCCGCCGGAAGTTCGAGTGCAACGTTTATCTCCGGCGCTGCCGAAAGCAAAAAGCCCAAGGGGTACGGTGCCCCTTAATTTATTCGACTTTCCACGTCCCGTCTCGCTGCAAAGGGCCGAGTGGAAATTACGGGAGGAAGTAGTAAAGCTTATTTCGAACTTTGAATTGTTCTTCCCCGGTCGGAATGACGGAAGAAAGTGATAAATCGCAGAATGATATCGGAAAATCTGTATTGGCCGGGTCGATCGAGCTTTACTGCTTATCGATCGGCATTTTCGGATGTCACAGGTATCACGGATCATAATAGTACATTGTGTACCAAGGAGGCAAAGTAGGTTTTTTAACGCCCGACGTATTCTTGAGGTACGAGTCGTTGGCTTGCGAAAGTACGAGTCAAAGACGAAATGAATTTTCTGTCCTGCCCCAACTCCCTCTTATTTGTTTGATGAAATCTGGGTGAGATAAGTCATAATTTTCCCATTTTTCCTAGGGGGGAGCGGGAAAATTTCGGAAACGCAAAATACGTAGCTTTCGGTTCATCGTCGCTCGTAAACATCAGAAGCATTTTTCTTCCTCTCCCTTTTTTTTTTTTTCGTAAAATATCGGTACCCATCCGAAAACCCTCAAAATCATTACACAAACTGCGCCGCTCGTGCGCGAGAGGTCTCTCTTTTTTTCGGGCATATTTCCGGGGTTTCCCTATGACAATTCGGGCGCGTCCAGGGGAAGTTGAGAGACAATTTCTGGAAATTCATTTCCTCGGCTGTCCCGCTAAGTACCCTCTTCGTAATCGTAACTGTAACTGAAACTGCAGCCGTAACTGCGACCACTGCAGAGGCTTTTCCGAGCGGGCGCCGCCGGCTGCTCGGGAAATTCCCTCCTCCTTCCTTTCCCTTTCTCCCCGGTTTCCGGTCGGAAAAACCTCTGGGTGGGATTCGAGTCCTCCCGGTGAATTTCCTCGGCAATTATCGCGCACGCCGCCGGCCTAATTGCCGCAGGGTTGTCAGCTTGAAAGCGACTCTTTCGGCTCGGGTCTCTGGCGCTTTTCCTTCCCCCCTTTTCCCTCTTTTTCCCTCCCCCGGGAAAATTCGTCGCCCCTCGTCCCGGCTCTTTCCTGCGACCGCCATCGAGAACCGCGCCCTGGGGAAATAGCCCTCGTTCTTGAAACTCGCTTCGAGGGAGTCTCGAGCACCTTGCCAAGGGCGGCTCCGAACAGCCTGAAGAGCTCGCGGTGTTGGAGCAAAAAGAGGAAAAAATTACCGTACTTACATGTGACTTTCCAAAGGCAAGTTTGTATTCCCGGTAATGAGGCTAGGTTTGCATTCACACCTTGGGACGTGCACCCCTGGACGGGGTGCGTAAAATTCAGGGAAAGGGTGGACGCGAAAATGCATACAACAACTTTCGTTTAACGGTGGCAAATCGCAAATTTTTAAATCGCTAAAGATTCTGCCAATGTCTGATCATTTACTTCAAATTGATTATATGATTGTTGTTATAAAAGAAAAATGTATAGCTAGAATCGAATTTATATTGCATTCATATATTATTATTATTTTTGATGTTATATTAATTTAAGCAGCCTTTAGTTTATTATTTTATCACTGGACGATATTTGTTCTGATTTGGCAATATTTCGCGGAGGAAGTGGAGACTTCCTCAAGAAAAGTCTGGGCTTTGTGGGCTAAAGCCCCTTTTCAAATTCTGAACAAGGTTGTCTAGCTTGAGGGTGAATCCTGATTTATTTCTATGTTTTATCCCAAAAGTTGAGACTTCTTAACTTTTTTCTAGTCCTTGAATGCGTTTCAAATTTTTTTCTTTTCTTTTTTTTATCGCGATCGGACCTAAGTCCTGAGGAAATGGCACCCAGCACTGAGCAGACCGCTTCGGAGGATCCTGCCGAGGGATGCTGCAAATCCTCTGAGGGATTTTCCAGTGTTGGGAGAAGAAATATTGAATTTATGACGGATTTGCGGGGGAGAATTTCCTGGGGAGAAATTTCCCACGGGGGTAACCTGCTTTGGACTCATTACTAGTTAGGGAACTGACATCACAGGAGTAAGTCTCGAGCTCGGAGTCGCCGGAAACTTTTCGGCAAAGTCAGACCGGAAGTGTTCGTCTTTCCGCTTCTCTTTCTTTTTTCTTAAATTCACCTCGAAGCGCTGAGCAAATTATTGGAATCGAACCTCGCGAGGGCAGCTGAAACTCACTTTTCCACCCTCAAAGAATTTGTCCGGGATAGGCAAAAGATTCGTTGCTTATCTAGGATGAGCCTTATCAGGTGATAATCGAATCGCTTCGAGTAGGACGATATGGAAATTATTTGCTCATCCTTCCCCCCTTACCCCGTTCCCATTTCCTGACATAATCGAATCGCGCTTTGGGAAATGGCGAAGGTGAATACGAAAGAATCCCTCCCAAGCTGGGGGATTTCTTCAGGGTGAGGGGTAACTAAATGTACTTCCTCGTCCCTTTCGAACCTCCCAGGAGAGTGTCCTGGAAACGACCGCAGACCTTCCATTAAAGATTCGGGCGAAGTTGGAGTTTCCTTTATTTTTGGCCACCCTTCCTCGAGCCACCCTTTTTCGGGCACAATCGAATCGCGCCCTGAGGAGAACGAGGTCGGGGATGCTCCGAGGGATCTTCACGGGCCGGGGAAAAAGGAGAGGAAATATTAAATCTGCATCCAGACTCCTCTCCTGCGGGAGGAATACGGGATGCTGAGAAATCCCTGGAGAAGCCCGGAAAAAGGCGGCTTCCGCCCTGGAAATCTCGCGGGGGTGAAAGCCCCCCATTTGACGCGAGTCGGAGTTCGCCGTTTCGCCCCCTGCGAGTCGAATCTCCCCTTCCGAGATTTCTCCCGTTTTTCTAGAATTTCTAGACGACGTCATATTCACTACGGTTTGCCGGAAAGCATACTTCCCGAAATGGGTTGCTGGGAATTTTCACGGTATTTTCCGCGGCGACGAAACGCGGATTTCTTCACCCGTGTCTGAAAATGACCTCGGGTTACCCCCGATTTTTCCTCGTTCGTCAATTTTTCTTCATGTAATTCTCCTTTTTACCGACTTGAGTTTTTTGTTCCATGAGTTCGCAAATTTTCTAAAGGTTCAGCAATTTATTCCTTGTAACTAAACGAACCACGTATTAATGAATAATGTACACTGCTGATTACTTCCTGCCATCTTTCCGACAGTTTATTTAAGCATCGGGAAACTCGATAGAGTTTTGCGCCAATACCTTAAGAAACATGCGCGAACGGCACTTAATACATGATATCAAAGTTCGGCACTTCAACGTGATGTACAATTATCACCGAAAGAAAATGCACTGAAAATGAAATTCGTCCGCGAACTTGTGGAATAACCCGGTGTCGTCGTCTTAGAATTCCGGCACAATTTGTTTTTCCAGACCTCGTGGAATATTATTTGAGGAAAATTACAGGAGACGGATAATTTCCCAAAGGCTCGGCGAGACGCAGAGCGATCTCTCGGAAACGTTCCCGGAAACTGGGTCGATCCCTGGGAATTTTCCGTGAGGGGTTCCTGATTAAGTCTCTCGATCAAAGCAAACCCTGCAATATCGAACTTGCGCGTTTAATGCCGAGATCGTCCTTTCGAGGGCCTCACAGGGATTTGTCTTAGCGGTTGTCTATTATGCCAGGCCTTGGCGCTGATTACTCCTCTCTCTGGCTGTCTCTTGCTGGTTATAATTTCATAATTCATTTTCCCTCCCCGTTTACACGTGGTTTCCGAGCCCCCCGAGCTTTTGTCGCGGGAACAAACAACCCCTCTCCGTGCTCGAGAATATCGGCCCTCTTCGACTCCAAGTTAACTCGATTTTCCGGCCTGCTTTCCAGCCTGCGATCGCGCTTTTCCTGGCTGAGAGCGAACCTCGCTGTCAGGGAAAAGTATCTCTTATAGTATGTGAAATGTGCCCTGAAAGAAAAAAAAGTAAATAAATAAATAAAGGCAACGTCTAAGATTCGACTCAAGTTCCTCTGCCACTATTGCATAAGAGAAATATGAACAAAGTCTCTTCTTATTATTAACAAATTTCCCGAATTTCTGAGATTTCCTACAAATGTATGGCCTCAAACTTGAACACTGCATTTACTATTGAAATGTCGTTGTTTCATTCTACATACTTTAGAGTATCTTCTATGGAAAAGGGTTAATGAGTTCATTCTCCTCGGGGAAAAACTCATCAAACGGTCTCTCCCTGATGGAGTTTCAAATTTCATCCTTGTGTCACTCCTCTTAATTAAATATCCCCTGTTTACCCATGGCCGCCCTCGGCCTCTCCTGCATTTCCAGGAAGGAACTACCCTACTTGGATTTCATACCGATGTAAAAAAAATATTATCTTACAATTTCCGCCAGGTTCACTCAAAGTTAACCCGATTTTCCGTTTTTTGTTCCAGGTCGCGATCGCGCTCTTCCAAACTAAGAATGAAATTCATCGAGCGGCTTAGCACTCGACTGTGAAATTCACCTGGAAGTTGGAAAATAGATCGTCGATCTGAGCTTTTTCTGTGAAAGCTCCAGGAAGTGCAGGACGTCTCTACTTTTACGAGAGGTGTCAAGATAGAGAGGACACCTCGTGGGGCGAGAAGTTTCCCCTGTTCTCCGAGTTGCTCCGAACTGAGGTGAGTGAACATTCTTCTTTCCTCTTCATCAGTGAAAATGTATATTCTTCGCCAGGGAAGTTGAGTCGAGTAGGAATGTTCTTCTGACATTGACACATTTTTTGGACGCTCACAATTTTTAATATTCTCGCCACGGCGTATTTTAAAGTCGCGCGGGCCAGAATTGGTGCAACGTTGGCTGGCTCAAATAAAAGCTTGAAGGTACGGCCCAGTTTTCCCCGGAGATGCCACTTGTCGCAATAATTGTGTCGAGTGGCCAAGTCAAGGCATCGGGTCGTCCCGTCGGTCGGAAAATTTCGATGCATTTTTTAGGGCGGGCTTCAAGTGCACATTGTTTCTCCCGAAGAAGTTCGTCGAGTGTTTACGGCGATAGTCGGTTGACGGGAAAGTCGACGGCTTTACCGGCGGCTTTTTGGTCCTTGAGCAAAAGGCTTGACACTTTTCTCAAGTACTGTATATTTACACACGCCAAGTTACCGTGAAAACATTCATCCTTGAGCGCTCTGAAAATTCCATAAAAATGACAACGCTTACAATGAAATACCAGCCGTCTGATTTTGACATCACGAGAGATATCATTTCATATCACGCGTGGCATCGCGTGTTGCGGGTACATAAACGCAAGCAGATTTTCCGGTGACGAGCGCGTAAATCTCCCGTAAATAAAAAAATTCTCCGTAACTAAAGCCCGAGGGTGATTTAAAAGCTCCCATCGCGCAGTCACTTAGGGAATGCTTTCCGCGAAAGTGCAGATTTTATTATGGGCGAACAGGTGCAAATGAATATCCTCGTCTCGTGGACGCCACCCCAGGAGACGAGAGATCGTAAACCCCAAGTTTAAATTAACTGAACTAATTAATCATTATTATTATCCGTTAACTTCGGAGTTGGGATTTTTATATCGCGGTAGAGTAGTCCTGGTTTTGATGAAAGCTCCCCCAGGTTTCGGGGGGTGATGAATCGCCGAATTTATCGAGCGACCCGAAAGTCTCCTTCGCAGGGGAGACCCTGACTTTTCATTGTCAAAGGACCAAAGGACGATTGCGCGTTGACATCAAAGTCGGGGGAGATGCATGTACCATCGAGAGAGACGAATAGAGCCAATACTTGTCACCAGAAGTGCGAGGGTCGAGGCTTCCTCGAGCTTTGGAGCTCCTCTATTTGGTGTCAACCTTGAACCTTGAACCGTCGACCTTAATCTCCGAGCTGGGACTTCGTCAGGATGTCAGGGTGTCAGGACTTTCTCCCTAGTTGAAGGATAGCAGTGAGGTAACCCCCAGGAAACAGTCAACGACCCCTGGCGAAAGTTACCGCGAAATTCCTCTCCTCGAATTTTACCGAAGCATTCTGGCTCATTTCTTCGTGTATACTAAATAATAATGTTTGCAGTCGCGACATTGTTTAACAAAAACTTCCACCGCTTTAAATGAAATTTTTAATTTTCGGCTAAGTGGCATTCTTTAACAAGAGTTCTCCAACAATTAACTGAATTTTGATTTCACAGTCGCGACATTTCTTGTCAACAATGTTCAACGATTGGGAAGAAAATGTTAAAGTACCCCGCGACTAGGCAAATTATTATTTACTATGAGTAATTGAAAAAATTTCGATAAATGGTAAATGGTTAAAAAAGTTACATGAAAGAGGAAGGGCGAAGGATCAAGAGAGCTTATGGGTTCCATCTCTGCACGTTCTGCATAATTTCGATTTTCTGGAGATCTTAGATCCTCGACCCCCCGGAGACTAGTCGGTGATGAAGAATCGGGACGCCTCGAAGAGTCACGAAGGGCTGCTTCTGAAAGGACCTGTAAAAGGACCCGAGTCAAAGCTCTTTGAAGCCGCTCCACGCTCTGCGATTAATCCTGGCGCGATCAATGAAAACAAGGAGACCTATATCTCCCGGGACCTGGACCAGGAGTCCAAAGATGGGTCCACCGAGAACACCCACCTAGGCAGGTGGAGCTTCAGGCGTTTCTTCGCCTTAAGGAAGCTTCCAGGGAATTACTGGACCGAGCTCTTCGGCTTTGCCTCGGTGCTTTTCATTCTGGGCCCATCCCGGCACTCCAGGAGATGCGAATTCGCCCTCCATTCGGGTCACCACGACTGGATGGTCGTTTTCATTCCCGGAATCCGGGGGGTATCATCGTGCGAATGCGTAGAAATCTCCGTGGGACTAGGTATACCGTATAAACAAGTTCTGATAAATTTGCGAATTTATATTGGATGGTTCTATTCCGACACGGTGGACTAAATGTATAGTACACTCGTGGATGCATTCAATGGACGGCTCTTTTAATTTTGCAAAGTGGTATAAATGCGATAGCGTGTCATGGAATTCGACATTTTCTTTTTATGAATTTAAAAACAATGCAGTTTAAATCGTCATATCATATCGGTCATTTTATGATAATTTCCCAAACTCAAGTTGTACGATATTTTGGAACATTTTTAACTGTCTAGGCCCTGCTCCCATTTTTTCCACTTTTTCCTCGGGTTGTCATGAAAGTTTTTTCCTGAAATTTCCGTCAGTCTTTAAAATTCATCCGGTTCCTCGTTACTTGTTTAAGAAAATTCCTGGGAGTACTCGGAAGGCGGTTAAACATTTTCATCTAAATTTCCTGGGAAGAAGGAAAGGGGAGGTTCAAAATTCTCTCCCGATCGATAGTTTAGAATCCGGGATCCGGGAGGCGATATATCCCTCCCCCGAGAGAGCGAATTCCTGCAGGAAAGCCTCGATGGGCGATTTTTCGATCGGGCCTCCGGGGACCATCGGCGACAAATTGACGAGCATTTCGCGGTACGGGCCTCTCCCGCGGGACCTGGGGGTCGACCGAGCGGGAACCTCGGGAAATCGGGATTAAACTCCTGGAGAGAGAGGGAGTATCTTCGTGTCCTGGGCTCGGGATCACCCCGGGTCCTCCGAGCCGAGTCGACGCGCCGTGGAAATCGTTTTCACGCTTCGCGGGAATCCTTAGTTCGCTTCGTCTTGCCGCAACATCCGTTTTCCGGGGATCCTCGCTCGCTGGTATCAAACCAAAATTTTCCGAACATCTAGGATCTACGGGGAGCGGAAATTGAAATTCAAAACAATATTGCAAGATATTTTCATTCATAAACCCTATTTTTAAGAGGACATCGTGAATAAAGAGCATTCTCTAACGGGTATTAGTCGCTAGGAAGCTCTTTAAAATTGAGATTTGAATTATTTTAATTAAAAAATTGCTATCTTCATTATACATTTTATAAATGGAATGGTAAAGTCTGCGGCTTTCTTTACCCGCTACAAGGTAAAAGTGCTAATGTTGGGCTATGGTAAACTATTGAGAGTGCGGTTTCAGGAATCACGAATCGCTTATCGACTTTTTTCACTTAACTTGTAACATACATGCACCTGATGCCATAAAGTCGCAACATTTAAACATTAATTTGAAATACGTTTATGATAACGCGTAAAGAAGTAGTGATTTAATTTTGGTTTGGCAAGTACTTGTGAGATGCGGTCATGGTCTCCTTTCGTTATGCTAAATAATTGCAATTATCAGATATAAGATTAATAATATTATCAGATATGCAACCTTGATTTTTGAGCACCGTAGATTTTTTTGGACAAATGCGTTTACGTACAGAAAAGCGTAATAAAAATGGTAATCGAACGTGGCAATCGTGGGCGGTTTACTCTCATTGAAGTTCCGCCATGGGGAGACCTCTAAGTGACAAAGCAGTCACGGGAAGCATCGCGGAAACTTGGGTCACGTAGTGGCTTTAAATCCGAGCCGACCTCGTGGAAATCGTTTTCACGCTCGGAAGGAAATTCCGCCCAGCCCTGGCGCAGTTTCCCGCTAAAAGTCGGGATCCCGGCGTTTCCGGAAACTTCGAGAATTCGCAAAGAGGATATCTCTCTCTCTCGCTCCCTTGGAGTTGTTGCGGGAAGTTTACTCTGTCGAGGTAATCTCTCCTCGGGTAATCCTTCGGCTTTGAGTTTTCCGCCGGGTCCGAGTCGAGCGAGTTAATTTGCTCCTTTCGCATGCCCGGAAGCATCGGCTGCTTATGCAATTATGCAAGGACCATCGGCCGCATCCTAAATTCTGGTGAATCGGCCTGGAGTGGAAAAAGTTCGTCCGAGTTTGGAGGCTTTCCGCTTTTGAAAAGGATTGGGTTAAAACGAGAAAATTGAAACGTCTCGCTCGGTAGTTTTCCAACTGCCCGACTAGTGCTTTCCTCGGGATTTTCCTTTTCGGATCTGACCGGGTATGTCGTCGGGAATTTTCATACTCTAACCTTTCGATCTGGAGTTTTGCTGAGAATTTTCCTTTACGAGTTCGTCGACTGGCTGCTTAGTCAGGAATTTTCCTTTTCGAGCCTTTTGACCGGACGCTTCGGCGAGAGTTCCCCTTTTCGAACTTTACGACTGCGGATTTCCTTCGGAATTTTCCTTTTCGAATTTATCGATCGACAGGAATTTTCAAAACTTCCGGTGGAAAGTTCCATTGCGAATATCCCTTTTCGAATTTGTCGACTGGCTGCTCCGTCGGGAACGTTTTTCCTTTTCGAGCCTTTTGATCAGACGTTTCGTCGGAAGTTTCCCTTTTCAAATTTCCCGCCTCCAGGGATTCCCTTTCCGAATTCACCTTTTCAAATTTGTCGAACGGATACGCAGTCAGGAAGTTTTCCGCCCAAACTTTTCAATTGAAAGTTTCATTTGAAATTCTCTTTTCGAATTTTTCGACTGGCTGCATCGTCGGAGATCTTTTTCGAAGTCTTTTGACCGAACGTTTCAGTTCTCCTCTACGAATGTTTCGTCGGGCATTATTTTTCCACGATTTAGTGCGGGATGAGTGGAAAGTGGGAGAAAGGGAACATAAAGTGGAAGTTACGGTCCTTTTCCGGCACGATAATTCCTCCTGCCGTCCTCCCGATTTTTATACCCTCTGCCTACAACCACTCACTTTCCCCATAATGGACCGGGTCCATCAGAACGTAGCGCATCCCGCGGGATTTAT